TTTTTTCAATCTTTCATCACTTTTCATACATTTTCTGTAGCGCTTAGATAATTCAGCAGCGATCTGTTGAGAACCACATTCTACTTCAATTAATCACACAGTAAGCGTTTCTTCCTACCAACATATTCCAAATTTTGCTAATCTTTCGCATTTCTTCACCATGCCTTATAGTTATCATTCTTATTCATGGCAGTTTCAGAAATGTGTCTAATCAACCCTTAAAATTGTAGTAGTTCAACTTAAACCCTTAAACACTTTTTATTATTTAAATTTTTACCTTACATAAACATTTTTTTACTCTCTAACTCACTTTAAATACCTGTTTCAAAGGTTAACATTCTTAAATTTTCCTTAATCTGTTCAAAAATATTTCCATTGGCAAATACATTCGCTATAAAGAGAGCAAAGCTACATATATCGTTCCAGAAACAATGCTAAAATAGTTTTAAGTTTTTTAGAAAGAATTTCTATTTTAAAACTCAGTTTCAAAATGCTTTAAGTATTTTCAAAAGTTAAGAGAAGAGAATCTGTGAAAAGCGATAATTTGAAATCAGTGCAGGAGGAGATAACATATAGCAATATCAGTTTACATCTTTTCACGATACCCTAATAAGAAGGGTCATTACCACCTATGGTATTTCTCTGTTATAAAATATTATTCATTTAATGATTCACCGGTATTAATCGTCTAGATCTTCCTTTCTTTCATCTCATTCCCTGTCTCTGTCGCTATCAAATTTTTCCTCCAACTGTTAATCATCATTTTCTTGTTATCCACAGTGAAATGTAAAATAAATGCCTGTACGAATGAAATTTGAAATTCTGGAATTAAAAAAATGTATCAATTGGGTGATGCTGCTCGTTATGTACTGCTAATCAATTCGACGAAGGCAGTATGTTGAGAATTTCATGGAGAATAATGTAATTTAATATAAAATTTAAATCTATGCTATCTCGAGCATAACAAACATGGAGAATAATATATTATTAATACGGCAATATCGAAATTTAATGCTTTGTCCTGAACAGCACTCAGTCCTACAGCAACTTCCGCTGGAAAGAATTCAGCTTGACTTCTTATAAGTTGGCATTCAGGTAGCATTACTAGAACCATTCCTTAGATTTCTGAGGTAAATGAAGCATATAGTGGTGCAACCACTTTTTTTTTTTTTTAAATAAATGCGAAAGGATTTGCTCGAATGATATATTAAAAGCGGGCAATGCATTTTGGTTATCTATCGGTTAAGAGTTATGTCAAAAGATAAAAACTATATAAAAAATGCTCTCTTTGCGATTAAGTTCGCTAGCCAGTCAGACACATTCAGATTAGATTTTATAACAACTGATTCCGGATAGCTCTAATTATGAGATCTGGAAATTTAACTAATCTTTTAGTTGCAAACTTTTCCTTCTCCTTATTTCGAAAAACAAGAGCGAAATAATCTTTGATTAAAAATATGAACAAAATCAAGAGAAAATTATTCTAAATTTATTTTTCTTTTCTTTTCATCTTTATCCTAAAATTTTCTCACTCAAATCTACAAAAACCAATCAATAATTTCACTTTTATTTTTTTCTTTTAATAAAAATGTGTTGCAACGGTTCGTACCTCAAACGTAAAATTAGTCTTGAAATTTTTTAAGATCCCGAAAAAGTTTTCTTTAAAAAAAATAGAATTTCTTGTCTCAGTTCTTATTCTTTTTTCAAAACTGTTGTGACGGTTTACCCTTAAATTTTCAAAACTTGTTACAACAGTTTTGAAAGTTTATATCTAAAAATTTGGTAATTACAAATAAGACGAATTCCGACATTTTATCCAAAATTTCCTGTCGAAAATCTTTTAGTATATCTCCTTTGAGAAAACTTGGAAATAAAACGCTAAAAAAAAGTCGGATTTTTTAATTTTTAGAAATTTTTATAGAAGGATGCTTTAAAATATCTTGTCAACCTTAGGAAATCAAAAATTTCTATTCAGCAATACTTTTAAAAAGTCAAAAGTGCCAAATGTTTACATTTCAGATTTCTTTAATTCATTGAATATCATATCTTTCTCATTCACAGCTCATCCATTACCGGCCTTATTCCAATTTTGAAAGTAATAATAATTATTTGAAACAACATACAAATAATTAGAGGATGAAAGTTACTTACAAAGTTACCACTCCTTTTCTTTTTCAACAAAAGTAACTTTGGTTGAAAAGAAGAACTTTTCGACTGTGTTAGACATTAAGAACTAAACAACCAAACTTTATAAAATTAGTTCCTTTATATATTTTGAGTGATATTTTATTGTAGTGTGTGTATTAATGGGATGAAGACATCTTCATCTCTTAATTATTATTCATTTTATTTATGTTTTTTTACTCTATGCTTTCATTTCTAAAGTTTAGTCGTGAAATGTCATCATGAAAAATGAAAATATTGAAGTGAATAATGCATGTTTTTTTTAAAGGATATTGAATAGAAGAAATGAAAGCAAAAGTGACAGTACGCTTTGGTAAGGTGGGAGTGGTGGTACCATGTTATGATTATATGACTGTTAATGATCTCATTAAAGCATCTGTTTTACGATACAAAAAAGCCACCGGACGAGTAAGTTTTTTAAGTTTAATCTTACTAATTAAGTGCATATGTTTTCGAAGAATTGCACGTACAAATTTGTGACCGAATTTTGTAAAAATTTTCACAATTTCTTATAATTAAATTGATAAAATAGATGTGAAATAAGTCGAAACTATAATCATTTCTCAAACTGTTAATTATATTTAAATTTCTATGAAATGTCATAGTTTGCAAATGGCAGTGTACGTTGATTGCAGCATTATTTTTTCTCATTGTTTACAAATTTTAATAATCCTAGATATATTGCGAGTATATACTTTTTATCATTTATCATTCTTAAAATCATTCTCCACTTTCTGCTGTTCCTTTCTACTGAAACATATTACTAATTTTTACTATACCGAAAAAAATATTGTATGAAAGTTGTCAAGAAAGTGAAACATATTTCCTCCGAAAACAATTCATATCGGCGCTGTATGATAATTTTGATAATCCTTTATCATTTATTTCTACTTTAATTATATAACCTTTTAGCTAGGAATTAGTGTAATAAGTAAAGAAAAACTGCTTACTAACAAGGTGATAATAAAAGGTCAAAGAACTTACATATTTTGTAATAACAGCGTGATTCTTATTTGTTATTGGGAAAGCAAGAAAAGTGATGCATTAAATGAATAGAATGAACAACAAAGTTCAAATACTTCCGAGGTCATCTGTGTCATGCAGTTGTCCAGTCATTTCCTCAGTTCTTATAGCAACAGTTCACATTTGACCTTTGTGTGTATGTGTTGGTATTAGGTATGCTCTACAGAACAGTGTCAGCAACAATTAATATAAACGTTTAACTGCCTATGACCCGAGCGCCGAGCGGCAAGAGAAGTGTGGAAGGGATTGGAGGAGAGACTTTTTCAAACAATTAGCAAGATATCACAGGCATTTCTCTGTATAATAATGAATTACAGGTAGGAGGATGAGCCGATACGCATGGTATATATATATGCGCATGTGGATGAATGTGTGTATGCAGGTAGCTGCATCTATGTGAATGTGTGTGTGTGTGTGTTGTGGTGATGATGCAGGTAGGTGGTTGAAGGGGTGGGAATCTTCTCTGTGATGTCCCCTCAGTATGGTATCGATCATCACCGCGTCACAGGTTACTAAGCATGGAAAGTGACGCGATCGATTGATTGGTAACGGTAGATGAAAGTATGTTTTCTCGAGATTTCATTTATCGCTCCATCTTTGCCAGAGGTCGCCTGTTTCTATTTGGTACCTACAGTAGCAGTAGCAAGAGCATGGTTTCATCTTCTCTAAGCTTCTCGCTAGTCCCTGTTTGACTACTTGTATATTGTCATAAGCAGAGCGACCTCTCCGTAGTTTTTACGACTGTATTCATTGTTTGGGTTGCTCGAATCTGCCATACAAAATCCCACAAATCTCTCACACAAAGTTTAGTTGAAAATATTTTCCTCTTATTAACCATTGCCAACCTGTCTCGCTCGGATCACTCAGTGTCATACTTTTGGCAATAGGTCTTTCTCAGACATAATCACAGGAATAGATGAATACAGTCACCAGTGTGAATTTCATCAAATGAGTTAATAATTTAAATTTCATGATTAAATGATATTGCCAGTTCACTTCAGTGATCCCTTCTATTTGATGTGACAGCTTTACTAGATGATAATTGATGTATGTTCGTCTCACAACTCATTTCATGGCGCTTCAAATTAATTTCATGACAAAAGAAAAAACAACGTTAATTTGATCGACGTGTCATTAACTTTTGCAAATTAGAACTGGAATTAGATGACGTGAGGTGAAGAGAAAGATGCGAAGTGTTCATTTTAGTGTCAGTAACAGGAATGCTTCATTAAATGAGGAAATAACAGAGTTAGTTAGCACGTAAAGATAACACGTAATGTTGTTGCGTAACACACATATATGTTTAGTTTTTCGAAATTTCATCTCTTCATTGAACAATCATTGTATGAGATGTGATACTATATTAGTGATTTATTAAGTGAATACATAATTGTTGCTCTGTTGCATAGCAGAATTAGCTTTCCCTATTCCAGTTGTATTTCGGTTTTCGGTTATCACAAAATGCTGTAATGATCAATCCCGTTTTACTTTCTAAATTGTTGATATTAGGAATGATGACAAATAAGCATTGACGCTGTATACTTAATTGTCAGTTTACATTAATGTTTACTTGGCAAGCGCTATCTCTGCTATCATTCTGCTAGCATCATTATAATTCTCATACCACAGGAATGATGTGGATCCAACTGTGAAAGAATGATGATGATTTGCTTATTGTTCTTCTCTTCCTTCTTAATATATTTTCAACAAAAACAGACTTACTGAAAGATCGGTTTCGAAGAAAAGAAGGGTAAGGGAAATTCTCTCCCTTATTCCTTCATCATCATCGTCTCATGTATCATATGATGTCCACAACAACAGATAATGCTACTACTGTTGGTTCCACCGGCATCGTACACTGCCAACAGAATGCAAATTATGTTACAGTAAGTGAATTTTAATTAGGTTTTAATTAAATTTTGGACAAGTGACGGTCAGATTTCGTCATAATTGCTTGAAATGAATTGGAATGGAATATCTGACTTTTCCTTGTCCATTTTACTATTTGCATTAGCGTGCCAGAATTTATAGCCATCACAACATTATGTATTTGTTCATCATGTTGAATGCTTACGAGATGGTGGCATTCTGGATCCCGATGATCAGCTTTTTGACGTTTTTGATGAGAATAATGATCAGGTTAGTGAAAATCATAGAAAGTTTCAGACTTTGGATATTACTGTGATAGCTCATAATGAATTAGATGCACACTATCTTAATCTGTAAATCAGGTAGATATAAATACAGTGAATTGTTTGTTCAGAAGGCTCTTGTACTTGTAATAATTTAATAGTCCAACTTTGTCAAATAATTTTCCAAGAGTTCTAATCAAGCCAGTGTCTTCTGGTATGAATTTAATATCGGTTTTAGATCTTAGCGATTTATGACGAACCGAGCTTTGCTGTAGTGGATTCGGCTTCAACAAATGCTTCTCGGTTTGCCACCAATGGAACAATTTCGTTAACGTCTTCGTTAGCAACTGCAAAACCTGTCGCATCAGCAGAGAGTCCCCTGGATGGTAAATTGAACATCATTTCAAGTTCCAGCGATGGTGACATTGTTGAAATAACGAGCATTGCTATACCGCCGAGTTTGTTTTGTCATGACTGAAACTTTATTCTATTATTTTGAAAGTGCGAACTTTTCATTATAGAAGCAGTGACTTTAAGGATTTGAGCAGTTTAAAAATAGTTTTATTCTGATGTAGGTGGTAGACTTTTGCAAAGGGCAGTATAGGCAGTAATCTATTTATTATATCTAATTTACATAATTAGCGCTAATATGAGTTGAATAAAGCAACGTGAAATAATTAATTTAGCTGATGGTTTACGAGTGATTTCGGACAATGCCCACACATTGCAACAGAAGCCATCCTCATCCTCAGTTATAACGAGTCCTGAATCTGTTTCTTCGCAATGCTTTCCATCGACACAGTTCGATCAGAAACACAATGATATGTCGAACACGTGTCGTGTTTATCATTCCGCCCTAAAAAATAGCGGGTCACCGAGAAGTAAATATCGAGTTACTATATCTCCAGGTTTCTAGTTTCTTTTGTGATTCATTTCATTCCTTATATCTTATTGAATAGATGACAAGGAATAAAGGAGTTTAAGTTAGTCATATCCTTCAAAAGTTGAAATTGTTTAATTTTCCTTCTTTTGTTATTGTGATTTGTACTCAACCACAAAATAAACGGGAGAGATAGAAATTGATCTTCATTCTTATCCGCTTTTCATTATCCACTGGGAATCTGCTTTGAATTTGCTCATTGTTAGTGTTATCTTACTCAATGATCTGTCTAAACTAAGCTCAACTAATTAAACTAAACTGCAAATACATCTTCAAGATAATGTCTTCAGTCGTATTTACATATTGCATAAAGTCTCTTATTTATTTCCAGATGTTGATTGTCAACCATCTCAAGAATCGCCAACTTTTACAAAAGAATCACTGATGACACGAACATCCGCTAGGAAATCACGTCTAACCGATAATTTTTTCGATGCCAAAGAACGATTGGAAGAAAAATTAGCAGATGGTATCAACAGTCGTGTAGTAAAAGGTAACATGAAAAGTCCAAAATTAATACCACTGATGGAGGCAGCAAATCGAGGACAAACGGTGATAATACTTTCAGACAGTACTATCAATATGAAGTTGGGTATTGAGGTATGTCTCTTCTTTTGACAACAGTCATATTCAGGAGGCACTTATTGTGTCGTCTTGAGCAATCAACTCATTTTTTTTTTTTTTTTGTAATACTTGAATGGGATTTGCGAGTTGGGAGAAATCAATTACTGAGAAAATAGATCAAAAGAGTTATGTTTCTGATTCAGATTTTCAATCGATCCTTTCGAACAGTAATAGAGAAGTAATCAATAATGAAAACTTATAAGATGGTCACCTTGTTCTTCCCTCTAACTTTATTTGGTCATGTTTTTTTTTCTTCAGATTTCACCTGTATATGATCCATCAAATGATATGCGTTTACAAGCTGTAGAGATTAGACAAATTGACGATGAAGGTCGGGTGAGCAGCGATGGGCGTCTTCGAATTGGTGATCGTATTGTGGAAATCAATCAGCGTCCTGTTTATCAGGTTAATAACCAAAAATGGTGTAGCACCGTTCAACAAATTTACTGCTTTGCATTTCCAATTCATATCTAACTTTGGCAGATGACAAAATCAAGATTTTTATGCAGGAATAACTCATGATTATTTCCTTGTTCATTTTTTAAAATGGTTAAAATTACATCAGTAAACGGAGAAGGTTGTGCAGCTTCACTTTGCAGATGTCGATCTCAAGAGCACGTGCCTACTTACACGAAATACAAGCAATTGCTCATCCAAGTTTGACAATCGATCGCTCCATAGAGACATTTGCAAGCGACAGTATGTTCTTAAATTGTCCATTGTTCATAGATTTTCAGTAAAATATATTTTTCATTAACTACGACAGGAAATCCTGTCGTAATTTAAATAATCTGCAGCACAACAGCGAACTAATGTATTACTAAAACAGTAATGGGCAGTGCTTTTTATCTTTTAAAGACAGTGAATGCCTACTGTACGATGTCTGTTTGTTTGCTTCGCATTAGTATACCTTTTTGACGTACGTCTGTGTCTTAAGAAGTTTGTATCTTAGTATTAGAAGCATCGTACTAAAAGCCTTAGACATCTTAGTGCCGTCAATTACTTTGTTCATTTATTATTTTGAACTGTGAATAGCAGAGTAGGTAAATGAAAATGGATAAATGCCAGGAACTGTGAGCGTTCTGTAGAGTCGGTATGCTATTACCAATATTATCAGACGTGAAACTGAATTACAAAATTACAATGGACTTAATATTTAGGCAATTCTGATGAATTCCTTATGCTTTGTATTTTAGTGACGTGAAAATTATTATATTGATAATCCTAACACTAATATCTTTGCAGAAAATAAAAAAAAAAAATTACATTTTTTCTTGATTTCCAGCGATCTCTCATCATAATCAGTCATCAACGAGCAGTTTGCAGAAGCGGCCAATTCTCTCTGCACTGCAGCAAGCCAATACAACAGCTCTTGGGATAACATTTCCAGTTGAAATTGTAAAAAGTATGTCATCCAGTTTATCATTTTACAATTTGTTCATCTCCATAAATAGTTGAAGAGGTGCCAGTCTCTCAAAATATTGCAATATTGTATTGAAGACTGTGTAAGTTGTAAATAAAAAACGAAAAGAAGCAATGTTTACTAAATTGTCTAATTTTACATGATAACTGATACAATATATCTCAGGAAGAGGCGGGTTTGGTTTTACCGTAACGAGTCGTGAAACTGCTAAAGGTGAACGATTATTTTATATTGGAACTGTGAAAGCAGGTGGTGCTGCGGTAAATAAATTAAGAGCTGGCGATCGGTTGCTACAGGTAATATTTTTTTTTCTTATGGAAATGGTTATACATTTACGTTCTGTTTCATTTTTTAGATTAATGGTAGAAAAACAGCTGAGTTTACCCAAAGTGATATGGTCGAGCGTCTCAAAAAACTGGATGTTGGTGATTCAATAAACTTACTAGTTTCTCGAATTGGAAGTCAGGAAAACGAAAACCAGAATCCATTGGTAGTGACAAATAATTATAACAGTGATAGTGAACATTATCACCAGGAAAGAGCGAGTGAAGGAACGGAACGATACGGGTGCACTTAATTAGCAATTTTTATTCAGATGATTCTTTTAATGCAAATAAGATGTTAAGCTGTGCATCTCATTTTGTTGCATTGACTATAGTTTAGGGTAAAAGGGGTAGAAATGTCGGTTGATAAATTGCTTAGGGGATTTCACAAAGTGCAATGATCTTGAACACTTTACAACCATCAGATTATTCTCCATTATGAGCGAAACGCTAAGGGCATTCAGATAACTGGAGATCTTCTACATATTGACTGTTGTATTCACGAATATAGTAAGACAATTTAGGACATTACTCATATTTTACAATGAGAAATGAAGTAGAAATTGCAGGGAGGAGATTTTGACGTTGAAGATTGCCTTGAATGAAACGGGAAGTGCTGGATTAGGTGTAAGTTTAAAAGCAAGAGCCGTTATGAAGCCTGATGGTACACGTCATGATTGTGGAATATTTATCAAAAAGGTGCTTGTAAAATTTATTATCTTCTGGATGTTTACTAAGCTGGAATTGGTACCTTCATTGGTTTCAGTAATGCTTTTTGAATACTGCATTGTAAATTCTGGTACCTTCGTCCCAATAACTAAATTTTTGAAAAATCACATTTAACTGTACAACTGCCGCAGGTCTTGCATGGTGGTGCTGCTTATAAAGATGGAAGATTACGATTGAATGATCAGTTGATTGGAATCGAAGATACTGATTTGAGACGAATGACAAGGAATTCAGAGGCTAGTGATGCTATCACTAGATGTTTGAAAAACCTAGGTAAATGCGTTGAATTGATTTATACAATTTAAATAGATTGGTAGTATTGCAGAGAAAATATTCAAAATGTTATTTCTGTCATCAAAGTCCTGTCTCTGTATTTTAGGACCGAACGCAAATGATGTATGCTTACGAGTAGCAAGAAAGGTTGAGCTAAACCACAGCAATGCTTTTCCAAGTGTAAGAAGTTCGACAGACGAATCTTGGACTCCAAATTGTAAGAGTTCGAAAATTTATGATAGGTCTCAAACAAAGTCGGCAGGTAATTTTAATTAATGTATATATTTAATATAGAAGCATGGTCATGCATAGATAATGGGATATTGAATTCTGCAAACGTTTAATGTAATTCATCTGTGAATGGCGAAGCACATTTCAGATATATGCAAGTACCACCATGCAGAATATCAATTTTGTTGTAAATGCATGCGTTTAAATCCAATTTTGGTTAGGCTCTACTGATAATGTATAGTTTTAATATATGCATAAATGTATCGCTTATATAGATAATGATAATGCGACTGCAAAGAAACAAGAAACGCCAAATGGTTATAATGCAGACGTACCAAGATTTAGTAGTTCGGACGATCGTTCTTTGTAATCTTTTTATTTATATATTTATTTCATTATCATTTGGCTTTCTTAGTATGGCTACACAGATACTCCGATTATTTGTCATAAGTTATAAAATAACAGTAATTATTTATGTTCTGTCCCTTATTTCATTGTCAAATTATGATGCATTATTGATGTACACAGTTTGATTATATTTCTTGGAATCATCAGTACTAGGATAGACGTTAGAGTAGACTGTTTGAAATATTCTAAACTGAATGTTCGAAAATTACTGAAAGTTAGAAACTTCTTTTTAGTAATTACTTTTTTATTTCATTTCTGATGTCATCTACAGACATTTTTAGAAATGCAAATGGAGATTTTGATTCCACCGCAAGCGATAGGCAGAAGTATCTATCAGAAGATGAAATAAGTCGTACTGGTGGTAGTGGTTTTAATCGGGAAAATCCTGCCAGAAGGTAGATGTTTGTTATTAAAAGTTTCTGTGAAAAAAAAATGTATATTTTCGATTGTCTGTAGAAGCGCAGACTTTTGATAAATTGTATCTGAAATCAAAATTTCAAGAAATGCTGCCGAAATGGATAATAAACATATCTTTCTAATATCTTCCTATTAATTCTGAGACTAATTTCTCCAGTTTCTTCACATCAAAAACTTACTTTTCCAGATCGATATCGGAAAAGCGGCATATGGGAGTTGGAATGGATGCGAACAGCACAATGCTTTTCCAAAAAATCAAACATAACCGTCAAATGAGTGGTATTTCTTAATTATAATTATTTCTGAAAAAGCTCAGTATGCATGACTGTAGTGCGCTTATTTAGAGTCATCTAATATTCAGTTTGATTTTCTGTAGAAAATTAAGCACTATTATTCGTTTGAAAAAGCTTCGCAATATTTCCTTTATAACACGATGGCAGTGTGGTTTCATTTTAATGAGAAAAGTGCGGTTTGAAGGCTTATTTTTCTTCTTTGTAATTCGCTTGTTCCTTCATTATTATTTATTTATTTTTTTAATATTTGTTTGATGCTTCTGTGGCATAAATTAACGCTTCAGCTCCTCTCTTGCATCGTTTCGTTCCATTTATTAGTCCAACACACAAGTCACTTGCAATGTTTTCTTCACGGAGTGCCGTATCACTTCGAGAAAAATGCCGTCGAAGGAGCTTAGCATCACTTCAGTCGTCTGAAGAAAAAACTGTCAATGGAAGGTCTATAGAAAAGCGTGAACAACGTATTCCCATATCTGCTAGTTACGTCAGCAGCACTAATAATGAGAGCACAAATGTGGCTTCTTCGTCATGTAAGCATAATTTGTAACTAATTGCTGATCAGTTTTCATGATAAAACTCTTATAAATCATGTTTTATTTTCCATTGTGAATTTGAATTAAGCTGAAAAATTATGGATTTGTACAGAAATTTAGCTTGAGGCTATCCACCGCTTAAGGATTTTTTTTTTCACCTTTAGCTTGTGTTTCTCATCGTAATTTACTATCAACAATATAGTGTGTGCTTTAGTTTCAATAACATTTACTCTTGATTTTTCCTAACTTCAATAGCGCTAACCGTGCTTTTTTGACGTCGGAATATTAGATTGCTGACTTGTGGAATAGTTATAATTTTTATTGATCTTTACCAATACTTATTTCAGCATCTCCTAACCGTCGTTCATTAAGCCTAGAAAGTATGGAAACGCACCAATCACCAGCGCTGGCAATTGTATCAGCGTAAGTTATATTTTTCTATGTCATCATCCATTTCTAAACGTTTATTTTTGACTTTCATCCATTTCCACCACAGAAAAGAAAGTCCTTCATTTACAGTCATTCTAATGGACCAGCCATTCGAGATACTCGAATAGAGCAAACTGCAAAACGAGGCCATCCGAGTACTCTCAAGCGATCACAAAAATCTCGATGTAATGGCTATATCAAGCCATCTATTTCTGATGCGGAAGATCAAACATCTGCAGGTAATTTTACTAATTTTATATGTTACCCCATTTTCTCTATTTCTTTTAATCTTAACGAATTTATTTCTTAATATAATGTGGTATTTTTAGGAAAAGGTCGGGATGAGTCTTATGCATCGTTACCCCGAGAAATTTCTGCTACTTCTAAGGAAAAACAGCAGCGAAGGAAATCAGTTGGAGGGTGAGCTGCATCTAACATGTGTTTTCCAAGTAGAAATCATAATCTTCAATTTGTTATATTGTTATTTGACGCTTATTTACTTTTCACATTTATCAGTATTCGTTTAGGCGAATTGTGAGTCATGAAATTAGAAGTAATCACCGATTTTAATTGAGTAGTTTATAGATATTGTATTTTTTTTATTTGCAGTAGCATATTTTCAAAGATTACTCAGCGATTCGGTGGTTCGAGATCGCGTGATACATCTCCAGAAAAAGCGGTATCATTCGACATTGCCGAAAGCAAGTCTTCCAGAGATAAATCAAATAGGTTTGTGAAGTTAATGAATTTTTTAATTAAACACAGTTATATTTAGAAAACTTATAATGAATAAAAGCTGTATTTTGAACGAATTGATAAATGTAATAGCTTAAGCTAGTCTAAAGTTTTAGCATTATTTGGAGTACCTGCAAAGTCCTGTCCTCATTCTTCAGTCATTTTTAGGACACAAGATCATCGAGAATGGAGTAAAGAAAGCAGAAGTAATCAGTCAATACGCAAAGCACCACCACCGTACAAACCATCATCCTATGACATTTTGCAGTCAACAGATCCTACTTGCTATGTGAATGTAAATCTCGTTTGCCTTTTCTTTTCTGACAACAGGATGATCGCAAAATACTGTAGGCGATTAGCATGGGGACACAGTTGTAACTGAATTAGAATGTATTAAGTTTCCACGTTTTTAAGATTTTTGTTGTTTGAAAATTTTGTAGCTTACTGTAGAGTTTCCTTACCTAAACCATATAGATTGCCTAATAATTTCTTGGAGAAATCCATTAACACGTTGTTGCGACAATGAATACACCAAGCAAGCAATTTGCGAGAACAACAATTAATTGAGAATTTTTTAAATGAGCACCAACAAGTCTCAAATTTAGGAAGTGCTTGGAACGCATAAAACAGAAACTGTTTGCAGCGGAAAGGAATTACCCGCTGGTGGCTATATACGGGTTGCAAATTCAAAGTTCTACAATAGCTTTGTTGAGAGGTGGGCGGGTAACTTGCAAGCTTAAGCTAGTCTTCTGTAGGGTTCTTTCCTACATGCTTCAGGCACCCCTCTTGTTTATTGCTACCACCGCTTCTCTCGAAAGTTTTTTGTACTGTTCTTAAAATGATGATTTAATCATAATAATAGGTAAAACCATAGTTTTAATTCTCTGTACTGTTGAATTCCATGAGAAAGAGTTGATTTTCCCTCCTCTTATTTTGTGAGTTTTGAATTACAGTAAGCGTGTTTTATAGTCAGCTTTCTGTTGCGCTTCAAGCTTTACACACTACAGAATACGTGATTTACACCTACCTTGCATGACGAAAGTTTATCCCTTTTTTGCATGAAACATTTTAAAAATGTTTGTTCATGCGTCACTGCATAAATATTGTTTGGTAAATAGGACTCTACAATATTTCACTTAATTCAAGATATTTCCAAAGGGCGCTATAGATTTAAATAATCTTTGCTTTGAAAAAGTCCTTTGCAAATTTTTGCCATACTTTCAAACCAAAAAAAGAAAAATTGCTTTTATTTAAGGATGTATTGACCGTGCATGTTTTGTGACATTTCTCAAAACTCTGTTTTTACTTTATAAAAATCCGGAAAGAATTTTGATTGTCAGATTCATTATTTTTAGGGAAAAGGTGTGCTGGAATGGAGAGAACAATATCAGACAGCAGTTCGCAACAACGAATACAATTGCGGAAAAGGAAGGAATTCATCCGTCAATCGCCAAACAAGGAAGTATGTTCGATGAGAATAATTCTAAAGCTGAATTTAAGACTGAGCATAATTTAGAGAAATATAACATGGAGAACAACTTCAGCTGAGATAAGAAATAAGCTTAAGGCTGTTTTTCCTTCTTTTCAGTGGATGTGGTGATGAGTTATATGTGCACCTCCGCCAACAGCCGCAACAGCAGCGGCAGCAATATGCAAACCATCCGCAGTGTTGTTATGAAAGACGACGCGAGCAGCAGCAACAACGTGTGGCCTATTACACGGGATGCAGCACAGACTATTACGACGCCTTCAATGCTTGGTTTGCGTACAGTTCAGCTACCGCATGCAGAAATATACCTATCATTACAAGAGGAAGAAGTGGATATCCATCCCAGCACACTTACTTTTCCGCAGCAGCAGAAACAGTGTCATCGAGCAGAGCAGCAGTACAACAAATTCACCATCAAAGGTTTATTAGCTTAAATATTAAATCCAGTAAAATCCACTTTTTTACTTTGAAGTTTTTGGCAATGACGACACTGAAGTTGTGGGAGGGTTTGGAGCTTATGATTTCGATTAACGCCTTGATAAAGATATGTATGAATTACAATTTTATTTTAACTTCAATTACCCTATAGTTCAGTGTAATATAGCTTCATTTCAATGGAATTGATTCAAAGGATACATTCTTTGTCAAACATTATTTGCTGTTGTTGTAGATTGCTGACTAGATTTGGAAACTAAATCCAAGTTTTTCTGAATGAGCGCATAAGTGAAACAGAAAATGGAGTGATTCTTTATAGATTCCGATCATGTCCAATTCAGTTTTCCTCATCAGGAATGCGAACGAAACAGAGTATCGAAAGGACTGGTCCCTACTACGCAACCAGCTATGACCTCCATTCCGGCCGTATTTCCGACTTCTAGAAATTTCTTTTTTGCTCCTTCTACACGGATGTCTGGATATCGAACTAATGATTCACAAGCAAAAGCCCCTTCGAGTTTGCGAAATCGTACTCAATCAGTTTTCACTCGGCCGCCCAAAGAATGTGCATTAGCTGAATTAAAAAATTCTCTGAAATCTCAAACATCTATGTTCACTAATAAGCACTCTTACCAAAACAAACAACAGCAGTCGACGCAGAATTCTTCCACTCGAGAACCAGTGCTGCTGTGTCCCTACCAATCTCAGGAAAAGCAAACCCCGGGCTTCCCCGACAGTTTCATCCGATCACCTTCTCATCCTTCCGCATCGCATTTGCCTTATACTTTTGATGAAGAAGCTACTTTTTCGTCTCCAACTTACTTGCAAACATTGCTGGAATCACCAGCAAAAATTTGCAAAGATGCAAATGTGCTTAATGTCCCGAAACCAGTCAAATACATCAAAATTCATTACGGACCATCTCATCCATCACCTCCTAAACAACAACCACTACGAGCTCGAACTATGACTGTCCGATCTCCAAATAGTGATTCGCTTCAGCAATCTCAACAGCAAACTACGAGTGGATTTGATTATCAGAAATATCTTCGATCGACTCGTCGAAATCGTATAAACGATCAGAAACAACGAATAACGCTTATTGCAGCGGTACCTGATGAAGCAGTGTTTATGAGAGAGACTACGATTTGTCGTGTCCCTCGTCCTAATACCATATATAATGCTACTAGTAGTAGTTAACGACTACTAACCTTTATTTATAACTTTCTGAACAATGCATAACCACGATCTTCCCACAAAACAAAAGCACTCATCTTCAGTATATTGATAATTTTTGGTCCTGAATATGTTTAAATTCTTAGTGTTCATTGTAGAGTTCAGAGAATTATCCTTGACTGCTTTTTGATTCTTCAAATTTTTAAATTTCCTGTGTGATTTATTAATTTGATCAGTTCTTCAGCGTTTAGTTTTAAATCCAATCGCGTCATCCATCATTACAATGCTACAACACTAGCAACTTTGCTTTCAAGTGAAATTGATTAAAACGATATTTCCTGAAGTGTAAGGGCTAAAGGATCATTTAAATTAAGGTCTGCATTTAATTTTCACCTTTTATTTAGAATTTCACAAAATATTTCTAACAAATAAAGGCAGGCAGCAGATTTGATGGATCTCGGGTTACTAATATTCAGCAACGCATTTCCTAGTTATTTTCGAATTGGAATGATGTTTTCCTCCTACATTCTACATTTTGTGCTTTTAACCATTTAAACGGAACTGTCAAATTTTACCGGAAACACAAGTGTAAAATGCTTTCATTTTGTGCCATATGTTTAGAATTCAATGCTATAATTGCGACTATTTGTTTCACTTTGTTATGCCAACGTGTCACTTCACTTTCGTCATTTTCTTTATTGCTTGCATAAGAAATATATGCTATCATCGATGTGTTACAGCCGAAATATCCAAAAGTTTTCGACTAAGGATAACTAAGAATTCCCGTGCCCAGAGGTTTCTTCAAAGTTCACATGATATTTTTCTGGGCTACAGATTCTCATTTATTTTGAATTGATTAATTTATTTAATGTCGATAGGTTTGCCTTGGTTAAGTGAAATAGGAAATGGACGTTAGCAGAATTTCGAGTAGTCGTGTTGTTTTAGAACTGTAAAAGAATTGTCCATGTCGATGAAATGAGGCATTTGGTCTGGGTGCTATGCGTTTTGTATAAAATCGAATTATTTTCCCGTAAAGAATAATATGCCAATTCAAGAGCAGACTAGTTACCGCAGCGCTTGGGAGCATCGCAAAAGTTACCTACCAGTGTTTTTTATTGGACTTATGTTGAGTTCCTTATGCACAGTGTTTTGAAAAAACATAAATTACACTACAGCCGAAGTATGTTGAGCTTACAAATATCTATCTAATCCGAAGTTGTATGGTTTGGACATGAGAAAGAGCAAGAAATCACAGTTTTATTCAGGAAAGCATCAGATTGATTGGATATGCTAGTTAATTTCTGGTCCATCATAGGTTTTGAATTATTTGTTATACTAAAAGACCAACGTATCGAGTAGTAAACCGCTTGAATTGACAGCACTCCTTAAAGTGGCGGTTGTGGTGAGAAATGCCCAACTGATGGGTTGGTCGTGGGTATTCATCACTGAAATGAATATTATTAGAACAAAGACATTAGTTTCTTGTTGAATGTCCTGAGAACGTTTTTTTTTTTTTTTTTTGTGAGGAAGACTCTTCAAGTAAATGTCTTTGTATCATAAGACAATTTATAATATACGTTCATTTCAAAGTCATCCAAGTTTCAGTAGTATTTGCTTAACTCTGTATAATCTCCCGACCGTCACAACTATTAGGCAAAGATATTAAAAATTAGTGACGAATTGCTTGTCATTCAGTTAATATTTCTTCATTTTAACAAGTAATCTTTAGAAATGAAAGCCTATTCTTGGTCTATCGCATTTAAAATTGAAAATTGTAAGCTCAGTTTTGAAATTTAAGATTCGTTTCTATATCTTCTTTGTAAATCAAATGGAAGTTGTAGGAAGTAACGTTTGATTCCTCTAAGACATATCTACTAGATTAACCCGAACAAAATCAGTCATAAGTCATAAGAGAGGCATCTGTTGAGCTGATTCTTTTAATTGGTACTTCATAACAGCAAAGATGGAAAGCACACAGATCTGTTCTCCTATCGTATTTTCTGCCAAACAATAAAAATAGAAAATGAAATCTATCGGAGAAGTCGCACTGATGCATTTTGGAAATTTCAAAACTTAGCCATGTTTTTATATGTTCCACATGACAAGAGAAGCATTTCCGAGAATTCTTCAGAGTATGACTTCAGTGAAAATTATGTGGGTAGGACAGATAATCAATAAAAGAATTCGCATAATAGTAATTCAGGGTTTAATGTTGCCATTACTTCTCATAACAAAAAAAATCTAATAATCCGCCCTAATATTTCCCATCTGTCTTCAGAAATCTAGACATACGAAACGAAGATTTTCTAACAATCTTTAAATTTTTCGTAATTTTCCAGGCTTTGAGCGAAGAAAGATAACATTTAAGTGACCTTTATAATTATACTAATTACATATAATTACAATACTTGGTGCATAAGACAGCTTTATGTACTATATGTTTCAATGCTATCTATACTTCATTATCACTTGACTACCTGTTCCTAACTATATCCTCCGATTAATTAATTAAAAAGGTGAAAAGTTGTCTAGAAAACAAATGATAGTTTGATCGGAAAACAATTTCCTATGATGACATGCTTGTCAACCGACATGTCAATGGACTTTTCAAAGGCTCGTGCCGTTACGGTGAATCAACGACAGCATCCAGTCCATTGGATCAGGAAATAACAGCAAACAATTGATAATATTTAGCAGGAAAGAGAAGGATCCATTTGAGTCAGTCAGCAAGATAAGAACGTAAACTACCAATAGCGCCTCACTCCATGTTTCTTCCATAATTTAGTTTTAATTATTCAATTCTGTTCAAATGGATAATGTAATCTGAGCGAACAGTATGAAATCCAACACTGCTAATGGACCGAATATCTTCCCTAGCCTACCCTTCCGCATAAACAGTTGCGCTCAGCGATGCTTCAGGTGTTTTGCTCTGCTCTAGTGTTTATCTTTGACACCGTTCATTGAAGCATTGGAAGCGCGTCTTCATGGCAACTTGCTACGTCATTTCCTCATATATTTGCAACATTGCTTTGCTCATTACTCTTCTTACTACTGCTAATTACTACTCTGTGATTGCTGCAGAACAATTCTCTACAGTGCGAGTGAGAATTGCTGAAGAAGGATTGCAATTTTTCAGCAAAATTGCACATCATATCGTACGTTTACTATTCACCTTTAACCTTTCTTATTTCACCCAGTAACATTTTCACCACAGTCATTTATGATTGATAACGGTTTTTACTTACTAAATCGATTATTTATTATAGTTTATGACAAATTTTAATGATATTATGAAATTGAAATTTGGATGAAACTCTAAAAAATGGCAGTCTACAATAATTGTAATTTAGAATTTGATCGAATATCAAATATAGGTTGACGAAGAAATATGGAAAGTAACACTTCCACAAATAACAATTCCGATTGAAGACGGACCTGGCACTGGCGAAGTGAATGTAACTGAACTCACATTACAAGCATTTAAATCGCCAACCTTTTCATTTGAATTAGCTTCACCAAATGGTATCATTTGGCAATCGAAAGGTGGATCGGTGAAGCAGGAAGCCGTCTGGCTTGCTGGCTACTATTTTATTGTTCCAGTTAGTTCATACAATCCATCACAAAGTTCTCTTGTCTGGCAAACTTTGTTGATGATACTAATTTTGAGATATTATTAATGAAAACTTTCTGAACCTTAGCTAATTTGATGCAGCTCAGATCACAATAATCACAAATATCGTGCAAATTAATGGGTAATCTCGTGATTCTATTTGTGTTGCAGATTTATCTCTCGGGATATGTTAAGGCGAAAATGGATGATATTCGTGTTTATATGCAAACCAATTTATTAGTTCGAAATGACCATCCACAAGTTGAGATCACTGATTGTTCCACAGATGTTCAGCACCTTTATGTATATATAACAGGAGGTGTCATACAATGGGTTGTCAACTTATTTCGAGCGCAATTAGCTTTTGTAATCAAGCAAACCATACATGAGAAAGTTTGATTCATACATATTTGTTTGAAAAGTGTTTTTACACAATGACAATTTAACATTTTTGTAGGGAGGATTTCGAAATTATTATTTTTTTTTTTTTTGAAGGCTATTAATCTCGTGCTATTAGTGACATGCTTACTGAGTTCATGGCTTGCTAAGGGTTCTATTCTAACTTATCTCTCTAGTCAAAGCTAACGATTGTTGAACTTATCTAGGAAATTTCTTATATATAAGTGTCTGCTTTTAGCGTGTTCCGAATTATGAAATGAATCTAAGAAACGTAAAAGTGGTGCTTTAGTTGGATCTATCGAAAAGCTGTTTATTGATGATAAATATAAACATTTAACAGATGTGTGATGTCATACGCAAGACTGTTGTTGATATCAATAGCGCTTTATCAGCACTTTCTACCCAAGTTAAACTATACAAAAACCTGTATATTAACTATTTATGCAAGGTATTCTTGTCGATTTATTCCTTTTCTCAGAAAGTAAAACCGAATTTAAATTTTCACGTTTGAACGGATAGGCTTAATTGCACATACGAAAATAAATCTGGAAGATTATGAAAGGATTAGGAAATGTTATTGGTTTCAGATTGAGAAATTTCATTTCCTGTGAGAATTACCAATAACTCATGTTTGGTTATTTTTATAGATTAAAATCTTCCTTAAATTATTCTAAATATCTGTCAAATTCTTCTTTTTTTGTCGAATAATTTTGAAATTTTCAGCAGAAACCTAAAGTAACGAGCAAATACATTGAAAATGAAATGATACTGGATGCAACGTATGGAAAAAGCAGATGTATGTTACCGACAGAGCAAATGGATAACGGTTAGCTTGTTCTTATTTTTAATTTTCAAAAATTATGTGTGCCTTGGAAATTTCGGATTTTCGACATATCAGATTAAGCTGTTGTGTAGAAAGAGTCTTCTAAGAAAGAGCAATTGATCATAAATATATCGATTGGTATACCTTAATAAAAATTTGCTTTGTCCATTCGCAGTATTTCAATTTGCTGAA